AAATCCCCGGTTTTTTTTTTTGGAAACTTTTTCCCGGGGGTTCCCCTACCCCCCGGGGCCCTCCCCCCCCCCCGGGGAAAAGTTCCCCAAAATTTTCCCCGGGTAGGTTCCCCCCCCCCCGGAAATTTTGGGGAAGGGGGGCAAAAAGGTTTGGGAAAGGGACCCCCCGGGGGGGGGTTTTTGGTTTTGGGCCCCCCCCCCCCCCCCCTTGTTTGTCGGTTACAACGTCGGCGCCGCTGGCCGTGATGTCGATTTTTGGTTTCTGTTTGGCTTGGTGGTCTGTCTCTGAAGCGATGAACAAGAAGGTGCAGCAGTTGGGCCTGGTTTTTGGGCTTTCTCAACGGCGTTTTGGGCTTTTTTTCGGTTACAAAACATAGCATACGAAGATGCACCGAGGGGGGGCTCCGCTGTCCTCTGGCCAGGCAGCTGCTACTGCTGTACGTACGGCACGTGCCATCACGCAGAAGAATTGTCGACGGTTGTTGATATTTGTTGTTTCCGGGATGAGTATCTGTCCCAAAGTTAAGTCTGGTGTCAAGGGTGACAATCGGAGATCCACTTCCTGTAAAAGGAGGATACCAACCACTCGGTCCGGGCGTAGGAAGTCGTCATAAAACCTATTGGACGGTTACAAACGTTCCTCGCCCCCGGCCATCGTGATACACCAAACATGTAGCGGAAGGCAATGTGTGCGGCGATTGTAGGATGCATAGGATGGCGACGGTCTAGACTGTCTAGCGTGGTTGTCAGTATTGAGCACAAGGCATTGGTGTAGACTGCCGTCGCCCTCTCTGCTGTAATTGTCCGCCATGTCGGGTGCTGACACTCCATCGCACGCTACATGAAGGACACACGATCCTTACGGTAGACGTCCCTGTTTTAGTCCCGGGTAAATAGGGCCGGTGCCCGGTATTGTGCTGGTGTTTTCGGCGGGTACACAGTAGTGAACTCCAAGTCATTCTCAATACTTTGAGTACTGCCGGTCCGCTATTCTGGGCACATAGATACCGGCACTATACAGGGACCCCCACTGTAGTATCAACTATAATATGCGTAACCCCTCCCCCCCCTCTCTCTTTTTCCAAGTGTTGTAACTCCACTGCACGCTACCCAAAGGCCACACGATCAACAGTAGCAACACCTCCCCCCTCTGCCAGGTGTTGGAACTCCGCCCGAAGGTGGACTGGCATAAGGGCAGCGCCGTGAACTGGATCTTGGACGCGTTGGACTTGGGTAACCGGTCAGACGTGTTCCCCATCTACCTCGGCGATGACATCACGGACGAGGACGCCTTCGTGGCCATGGAGACCCGGTAGGTTGCAATCAGGGCCCTTAGGATGTTGAAGTGATTTGGATTACTGAAGTTTAGTACGCTGTTGCCTTTTTTTTTTACCTTTTTTTTTTGTTGGTTGCATGGTGTATTGGGTTGGGTGCTGTCGGGTGGGGACGAGGGTCGGTTTTTGATTGGTCCAGTTACGCTGTGTAGCGACATGGATGTCAGATTGACCTCCCGAGGATGGCTAGTGTTTCCGCAAAGAGCCACGCCGATACGCCGAATACCGCTCTCACCGGACATGAAATTTGCAGACCAACCGGGCCCATCGCTGCAGAAGTGTGACAGAAACACGGCAAAAAAAGTCGACACACGAGAGAAATGGGGTGTTTTTTTTTTTTTTGTCCTACGTGGAAGTACCACACACACGGCACGGGATCATCATCGTAGCGCGTGTATTTACGCCGCCTCTGAATATTGCGGTACCTCCCCCCCCCCCCCCTAAGAAAAAAGAAAAAGAAGAAAAAAACACATGTCCCTGGGGGAAAACCGAAGAAAATAAAACCCCCAAAATTGGGGAATGCGAATTTTACAGGAAAGAAAAAAAAGAACCCCAGGAAGAAAAGAAAAAAAAAGGGGGGGAAAAGGACAAATTTGGGAAAATAAAAAACAACCAAAAAACCAACCCGAAAAATGGGGAAAAAAGGGGGGCACAAAAAGCCCCAAAAGAACGGGAAAAAAAGTGCCAAAAAATTTATGGAATTTGGGGCAAAAAACTAAAAAACCCCCCAAAGTTGGGGGGGTCTCCAAAAATTGTAAGAAAGGGG